GTGTGTGTGTGTGTGTGTGTGTGTGTGTGTGTGTGTGTGTGTGTGTGTGTGTACACACATATACAATACATACTTCCATATATCAGTTCTTTCTCTGGAGGTGGATAGCATTGTCCTTCAGAAGTTTTTTGTAGTTGATTTGAATGATCATATTACTCAGAACAGCTGAAGTCATTCACAGTTGCTCTTCAAACAGTATTGCTGTTACTGTATACAATGTTCTTTTGGTTCTGCTCATTTCATGCAAGTCTTCCTATGTCTTTCTAAAACCAGCCTGTTCATCATTTCTCACAACACAGTAGTATCCCATCACAATCATATACCATAACTTATTCAGCCATTCCTCAGTTGATGGATATCCTCTCACTTTCTAGTTCTTTGCTACCACAAAGAGAGCTGCTGTAAATATTTTAGAACATATAGGTTCTTTTCCTTTTTCCCTATCACTTTGGGAAACAGACCTAATAGTGGTTTTACTGGAACAAAGGATATACACAGTTTTATAACTCTTTGGATGTAATTCCAAATTGCTCTCCAAAATGATTGGATCAGTTCACAATTCCACCATTGTATTAGTGACCAATTCTAACAGCGTGTTAGTATTCCAATTTTTCTACATTCCCTTCCAATGTGTCATGTTCCCCTTTTATCATTTTAGCTAATCTGATAGGTATGAGATGGTACCTCAGAGTTGTTTTAATTTGCATTTCTCTAATCATTTAGAGATTTTTTCATATGACTATATATAGCTTTGATTTCTTCTTCCAAAAACTACCTGTTCATATCCTTTGACCATTTGTCAATTAGGGAATGACTCATATTCTTATATATTTGACTGAGGTTTCTATGTAAGATATGAGAACTTATGAGAAACTGGCTACAAAATTTTTTCCCCAATTTCTGCTTTCCTTCTAATCTTCACCACATTGGTTTTATTTGTACAAAGCCTTTTTAATTTAATGTAATCAAAATTATCCATTTTACTTCCCGCAGTGCTCTCTGTCTCTTGTGTATTCATTATCGCCCACTTATGCATTGAAGTCACAGAGTATTGAAGATGTTGATTTAATTGGGAGGCTTTTGCTGAGTTCTTGGGATTTTTTTTATCTCTTTATCTTCTGTAGCAGATGTCAGTGCATAAGTAGCTCTGGTTATTTTCAGCGCAGTCTTTTTGCAGATACCAGTCGTGAGTCTTACAATATAAGATTGCCAAGTATCCCACGAAATTTTTGATGTTGCCTTTGGATCCATAAGGTCCACTCTGCCAACTCCTTGTCTTGTCTCTTCAAGGATAACCTGTGAGAACCACTTTTTTCATTTAGCTCGAGCTTCCTTTGGTGTTCTGGTTTCATTGTTGTAAGAATGTCAAGATTAACATGATTGGAATGTCTTCTCACTGGACATTGGATAGAGATCTTACATTTGAGGTAACAGTAGCAAAATTAATGGTTTTTAGTTGGTCTAAAAATTGTGTAATTCTTAGTACTCTCTGATCCCCTTTATGCTTTTCTGTTACCACCAATTTAGAAGAGGAAGAGGGGCAGCACAGGACTGAGGGACATATTGTATTTTGTGTTTGTTGTTTCATGGGTTGTCAGTAAACTGAATTATAGACTTACTTATAAACCTCCATTAAAGGCCATTCTAGATCCGTTTTTATGCCAGGGAGGTGACTCGGTCTTCAAAGGCTAAGCTAATGGCATGCAAATTCTCATAGGACCTACCACACTGTGTCCAGTGATGCATTGTGAGTCTTATCTGAGGACTAGCCTAGCTCCATGTGAAGAGGCGTGTCATAGGAAGGTTGGTTATCAAGTGGTGCATTTTTTCCTGCCCTAGTCACTCATGAAAACTGTTCTCTACTCAGGTGTAGAGGCAGTTCTGATCTATATCAGTAAGCGGAGAACCCACATTAATGAAACCACAGGTGCTTGGTGTATTAAAGTAATACTTTAAAAGACTTACCAACTGGCAGCTCATCTAGAGTTAGACATCGCCCGAGTACTAGCTGAAGAGGCCAGTGGTGGAAAGAAGGGGAAGAGGTTCAGTACAGTCTCTTCTGTGCCACATGGAGTGAAATTTCTCTTCTCTGTAAGTCTAAGTTAACATTGAGAGCCACAGGGAGCAGCTTATTTTTGTACTTCCCTAGGTTGGGTTTGGAAAGTGTAAGACAGCATGATGACAGGCAGTTCTCAGTGTCAATTGATAGTCTGTGACACGGCAGAGAGTCCTTTGCCCCTGGAAGTTTTCTTTTCTTTTTTTAAAAATTAATTTATTTTGATTTATCAACAATCATATCCTATGCTTTTGAGTTCAAAATTTTTCTCCCCTTTCCTCCCCACCACCCTCCCCAAGATGGCACACAATCTGAAATAGGATATACATATACATTCCTACTAAACATATTTTCACATTAGTGATGTTGTAGGTAAGAATTAGAACCAATAGAAGGAATCACCAGAAAGAGGAAACAAAATTCAACAGAAGAAAAAAATAGCAAATAGTATGTTTCAATCTGCATTCAAACTCCATTGTTCTTTCTTTGGATGTGGATAGCATTTTCTATCACGAGGCCTTTGGAGATGTCTTAGATCCTTGCATTGCTGAGAAGAGCCAAGTCTATGAAAGATAGTCATCGCACAATGTGGCTGTTATTGTGTACAACGTTCTCCTGTTCTGCTCACTTCACTCAGCATCAGACCATATAAGTCTTTCCAGGTTTTTCTGAAGTCAGCCTGTTGGTCATTTTTTATAGCACAATAGTATTCCATCACATTCATATACCACAACTTGTTCAGCCATTCCCCAATTGATGGGCATCCTCTCAATTTCCAATTCTTTGCCACCACAAAAAGAGCAGCTATGAATATTTTTGTACATGTGGGTCCTTTTCCCATTTGTATGATCTCTTTGGGATATAGCCCTAGAAGTGCTGTTGCTGGGTCAAAGGGTATGCACATTTTTATAGCCCTTTGGGCACAGTTCCAAATTGCTCTCCAAAATGGTTGGATAATTTCACAATTCCACCAACAATGCATTAGTGTTCCAATTTTCCCACATCTTCCCCAACATTTATCATATTCCTGTTTTGTCATCTTGGCCAGTCTGACAGGTGTGATGTGGTACCTCAGAGTTGTTTTGATTTGCATTTCTCTAATCAATACTGATTTACAGCATTTTTTCATATGACTATAGATCGCTTTAATTTCTTCATCTGAAAACTGCCTGTTCATATTCTTTGACCATTTATCAACTGGGGAATGACTTGTATTCTTATAAATTTGACTTTATTCTCTGTATATTCTAGAAATGAGGCCCTTATCAGAGAGACTGGTTGTAAAAATTCTTTCCCAATTTTCTACTTTCCTTCTAATCTTGGTTGCATTGGCTTTGTTTGTGCAAAAACTTTTCAATTTAATGTAATCAAAGTTATCCATTTTGCTTTTTGCAATGTTCTGTATCTCCTGTTTGGTCATGAATTCTTCTGTTCTCCATAAATCTGATAGGTAAACTGTTCCTTGCTTTCCCAGTTTGCTTACAGTACCAGCCTTTATATCTAAATCATGAACCCATTTTGACTTTATTTTGGTATATGGTATGAGATTTTGATCTATGCCGAGTTTCTGCCATATTCTTTTCCAGTTTTCCCAGCAGTTTTTGTCAAATAGTGAGTTCTTATCCCAGAAGCTAGGGTCTTTGGGTTTATCAAATAATAGATTACTATAGTCATTGACTACTGTGTCTTGCATACTTAACCTGTTCCATCGATCCACCACTTTATTTCTTAGCCAGTACCAAGCAGGTTTAATGATTGCTGCTTTATAATACAATTTAAGATCTGGAATGGCTAGGCCACCTTCCCCTTTATTTCTTTTCATTAGTTCCCTTGATATTCCGGACCTTTTGTTCTTCCAAATGAATCTTGTTATTATTTTTTTCTAACCCTATAAAATAAGCCGTTCTTAGGGGAAGTTTTATATCTCTAAATGCTTAAATAAATAAAATAGAAAAAGAAGGGATCAATGAATTGGGGCATACAACTAAAAAAAACTAGAAAAAGAACAAATTAAAAATCCTCAATTAAACACCAAATTAGAAATATTGAAAACCAAAGGAAAATTAATAAAATTGAAATTAAGAAAACTATTGAACTAATAAATAAAACTAAGAGCTGGTTTTATGAAAAAAAAAACCAATAAAATAGATAAACCTTTGGTTTATTTAATTTAAAAAAAGAAAGAAGAAAACCAAATTATTAGTATCAAGAATGAAAAGGGTGAATCCACCACCAAGGAAGAGGAAATTAAATCAATAATTAGGAACTATTTTGCCCAACTGTGTGCCAATAAATTTGACAATCTTAGTGAAATGGATACATATTTACAAAAATATAAATTGCCCAGATTAACAGAAGAGGAAGTAAAATACTTAAATAACCCCATCTCAGAAAAAGAAATTGGACAACTCCCTAGGAGAAAATCTCCAGGGCCAGATGGATTTACAAGCGAATTCTATCAAATATTTAAAGAACAATTAATTCCAATACTATATAGACTATTTGTGAAAATAGGTGAAGAAGGAGTCTTACCAAATTCTTTTTATGATACAAATATGGTGCTGATACCTTAACCAGGAAGAGTCAAAACAGAGAAAGAAAATTATAGACCAATTTCTCTAATTAATATAGATGCAAAAATTTTAAATAACATGTTAGCAAGTACAGCAACTTATCACAAGAATATTATACTATGATCAGGTAGGATTTATACCAGGAATACAGGGCTGGTTCAATATTAGGAAAACTATCAACCTAATTGATCATATCAACATCAAAATTAATAGAAACCACATGATCATCTCAATAGATGCAGAAAAAGCTTTTGACAAAATACAGCACCCATTCCTATTAAAAACACTAGAGACCATAGGAATAAATGGAGTCTTCCTTAAAATAATAAATAGCATCTATCTAAAACCTTCAGCAAGCATCATATATGTAATGGGGACAAGGTAGAAGCATTTCCATTAAGATCGGGGGTGAAACAAGGATGTCCATTATCTCCACTGTTGTTCAATATCATACTGGCAATGTTAGCTTTAGCAATAACAGAAGAAAAAGAAATTGAAGGTATTAGAATAGGCAAAGAAGAAATAACGCTATCACTCTTTGCAGATGACATGATGATATACTTAGAGAATCCTAGAGAATCAGGTAAAAAAACTGCTTGAAATAATAAGCAACTTTGGTAAAGCTGCAGGCTATAAAATAAACCCACATAAATCATCGCCATTCTATATATTACCAACAAAGCCCAACAGCAAGAGATAGAAAGAGAAATTCTATTTAAACTTACTGTAGACATTTTAAAATATTTAGGAGTCTACCTCCTGAAACAAACCCAGAAACTATGTGAACACAATTACAAAACACTTTTCACGCAAATAAAGTCAGATATAAATAATTGGAAAAACATCAGTTGCTCATGGGTAGGCCGAGCTAATATAATAAAAATGACAATTCTACCTAAGCTAATTTACTTATTCAGTGCCATACCAATCAAACTACCAAAAATTATTTTATAGAGCCCCTGGAAGTTTTCAAGTAGAGATGGTGACCATCCATAAGGATATTGTAAGAAGGGTGCCTCTATTGAGGCTTAGTTTAGAACAGATGCTATCAAAGAGTACTTCCAATGGTAAAAGTCTGGAATTCAATAAAACTCAAATCAAGGCAGGAAAAAGCAAAAGAAACTTTAAGGTCTGTTTCTTATTTGTTGCTCTTTCTGAGAACTTGAGAAATAATAGATTTAAATCAATAAAAATGTATTGAGTCTCTTTATACAATGTACAAAACCTTTTGAGATACAAAGAAATATAAATTGGTAACCCTTTCTTTCTAGGAGCTTTCAGGAAAGTTGGAAAGACAAGACAAATGTGAAATATAATAACTAATAATACAATTATTTCAGTAACTCTAGAAGAGGTATCACAAACTAATAGATAATTGATAAAGGCAATAAGTGCTCTGGGAGTTGAAGAGAAGGATCACTTCAGGCTGTGGTAATTAGAGAAGGCTCTACATTAGAAATATAATTTGAGCTGGGTTTTAAAGGATGGGTAGAATTTTAAGAGGAAACAAGAAAAGGAAGAGCAATCTGGATGGAGGTAATCACATGAGCAAAACCCTAGAACCAGCAAAGTACAAAGTATATTCAGTGGACAGTGAGTAAAGCAGGTCGCCTAAATAGAGGTTTTGTGGAGGAGGCAGGTGATGGAAAACAGGACTGGAAAAGAGATCGAGACCAGGCTCTGGGACATCCTGAGATCAGGCTAAGATGTTGGGGTTCATAGAGAGAGATTGAGTTAGGTAAATGAAATAGTCAGAAAGGTATTTTAGGAAGATTAATCTGATGGTTGGAAGCAGGATGAATTGGAGAGGGAAGGGACCAGAGGCAGGGAAACCGAGTTGGAGTCTGTAACAGAAGCAGTCGTGACTTCAGCTAATAAGAATCAGAATTACAGTAATAGTGGTGAGAATGGAAAAGAAGGGGCGAATGAAAAAGATATTTTGAAGGACTTGGCAATAAAGTAGATAAAGCAGCAACAGTCTCTGAATTGGTCTTCTTGCCTCAGCTTTTTCACCACTCCAATCCATCCTACACATAGTTGCCAAAGTAATTTCCCTTACGCACAGATCTGACCATGTGACTGCCCTACTCTATCAGCTCCAGTGGCTTTCTGTTACATTGAGGGTAAAAGATTAACCCCTGTGTTTAGCGTTTAAAGCCCTATACAACCTGGCCCCAGCCTTTCTTTCCAGCAGTTGAGCCAAACCAGCCTTTTCCCTTGTAACTAAGAATTGTTTTCCTTTGGATGGTTTAATAGTGCTTGGATCTCTTTGATCTAGGGAAACGTGGTGGCTTTGGTGCATGACAGTGACAGAACAGAGGATGAGGAGAGGACAATGCTGACGAATGCTCTCGGTCACCAAAGTAGTTTGATCCTCCGGGCTGAGGGATTGGCAACTGGATTCTGCAAGGATGTTCACGGGCAGGTAATGTGGGCATTGCCTGGGTAATGGTGGGTAGTTAATGGCTTCTAATAAAGGTCTGTTCTCCAGGGTGTTTTTGTGGTGGTATTAGGTACCTTCAGGTAGAAGGAGGACCACAGATTACAGCTGAATAAAATACTGGTACATATACCAAATATAGTTCTCCAGAGGTCGAATCGCCATGCTAAGACACTGAACTGATAATATGAGGGTTGACTTTCATAGTCCCTTTGAGAGGCTATACTTGCTATAATTCAGAATGTGTTTAATTTCAGTTATTTTTCTGAATTTCAGAAATTCAGTTACGGGAATTTTCTTCAGACCATTCTTTTGAAGAACCTCAGTGGTGGGTGATCTCTATGCTTTGAGGATATAGCTTTCACTTTTAGAAATGGCCAAAAGTCATTTGTAGTCAAGTCTGGTGAATCAAGTGGATGATCAAACTGATAATGCCCTGGTGTGACTGTATAGTAGTGAGACTGCTGTTATTATGTGGCTCCTAGGAGCACAGATAGAGAGAAGGGACCATAGAGACCATCCAGTCCAGAGGAAGAAAATGAAGGGCCACGCTGGCAGTACATGGAGAACTGGGCTTCAAAGCCAGCACTCTGTTCTACTGCAGCACACTTCTTCCTTTATAGTGGCATTGCTGAGATAAGTGTCCTGAGGAAAACACACCTGGCAATATATAAAGTCCAAGCACACTTATTTAGAGAAGTTAGTTACCTTTGGTTGAAGCTGTATGAGAAAAGTTATTCGAGGAATAAAGGAACAAGGACAGAGGAGTAGGCTGTTCAGTGAGGCCCTTCATTCATTCTCCTCCTCCTTTCTGCAGTTGAAAATCCTGTGGCGGGGATTGCAGCAGCCAAAAGTTGAGCAGACTCGGAGTCTCACTTATCAATACAAGATACAGGACAAGACTGTGACCTTCTTTGCTAAAGGACTATCTCCTGCTGTGCTGTGACTTGATCTTTGGACTGTGAAAAGTGACATGCTGACTGTTTTCAGATTTGAAGGAAAAGGCCATGCCGTAAACAGACCTTCCCCAGCTTTGCTCAAGCTAAACAGACCAGCGTAGCTACTTCAGATGTGGCTTCTGTGGTGGAAGCCCAGGGCAGGACTGCTATATGTTTTGCCTGCTTGTCTGATTCACCCCTGTTCTTGGTAAGCAGACCAAGAGTGAATGTGCAGAACTCTCAAGAAATGGGCATCCTGTCTACTCACTGTGGGAAACTGAGCCTAGATTCTAGTCTTGGGCTTTGGATGTAAACATACTGCACAGTGGGCTGATCTTGTTGGCACATGTGTGTAATCTATTTAATAAACCTTAAATAGATTTTATTGATGCCGTTTGTCTTTCTATCAAAGTCATTTCAGGATCCTTCCCCCACCTGGACTAACCTCTCCTTTGTCCCACCGAGTAATTGCATCTGACAATATGTGTGATATTCCGTCCTAGGAGTCTCCCACCTCTCACTATGAGGGGGAAATTATGTTTCATTATGTATAACTTCTCCAGGACCTTCTTTGGTTTTTCCATCACTCGGAGCTCACTTTCCTTTGAGTGATCTTTTCCATTATATTGTCGTATTCATGCAGACTGGTCTTTTGATTCTGGCTCAGTTCACACTAATCTTCCCACATTTCTCTGAATTCCTCACTGCACAGTAAGACTCCATTACATTCATATGTCCTAGTTCACGCACTCCCCAGTCGTTGGGCACCCACTTTGTTACCAGTTCCTTGCTGCCACAGAATGCTGTTACAAATATGTATTTGTGTGTGTCTAGATACACATATACATGTATGTGTCATTTCAGAACCAAGGTGAGTGGTAGATCATGGTTGTTGTTAGGAAAAGGATTTTGCAAACCTTAATGCTCTATGCAAATGAGTTATTATTTTTGGACCAAACTTTTTATTTCATAGTTGTTGGGAGCTTGCAATGGGGAAATGCCTAATACCTTTGCAGGTTGGCACCTGCTTGGCAGTTTAAAGACTTAGGAAGTTTTACTTAAACAGAGGTTAACTTGCCCAAGGCTTACTCCATAAGCCTTTTTTTTAATGTGTGAGAAACAGAACTTGGTCCAGGGTTTTTCTGACTCTGAAATTGGCTCTCTGTACAGCATGGAGTCATGCTGGCCCTTATTTGTATGTAATAATTATATAATTATGATTTGTATAATGATGTTGTTGTTAATGAAGAATGACAGTTTTCAGAATGGTAGAAATAGAACCTGGAAGCAGGCTTCCCATACCTTTATGTCCCCTCTCAAGCCTTAATATGATTTTAGGAATCCCACCCCCCACAAAGATGTTGGCCTGCTCTAACACTTCCCTGATTTGAGATTACCCTCCCATTCCCACCTCAAATCCTTTCCCCTTCCTCCCATGCCACTGACCTTTGGCTTCAGTAAGTGGCACAATCACAGCATAGGGTTGCTCATTATTTCTTGCTTCTCTTATTTGGAGCTTTTGAACTCAATTGTAGCCTCTCATTCTCAAATGAGATAATATATGTAAATTACTTTTAGACCTTAAAGCACTGCATAAATGTTAGCTATTACTGTTCTTTCTCTGGAGGCTAAAATTCTGCTCCTTCATTCTGTTTAATTTAACAGCCCAAGTCTCTTACTATGGCAAGCTAAGTGGCCCAGTGGATAGAGTGCCGGGCCTGGAGTCAGCCTCATCTTCCTGAGTTCAATCTTGCCTTGATACTTACTGGGTGGGTAACCCTGGGCAAGTCACTTAATGCTGTTTGCCTCAGTTTCCTCATCTGTAAAATGAGCTGAAGAAGGAAACGGCAAATCACTCCAGTATCTTTGCCAAGAAAACCCCAAATAGGGTCATGGGAAATTAGACACAACTGGAAAAAAGACTTAACTTAAAAACCATTAGGTGTGATGGGAAGGATCAAATGAGATAATGGATGTAAAACACTTTGTAAATCTTAAAGTGGCATATAAACGTCAGCTGTTGTGGGTAGTACTAAATAAGTGTAAAACATGATCCCTACACCTAAGGTTACATTCTAGTTGGGAGAGATAGAAATAAACAGAATAATTGAGGACCAAATAGTATTGTATCCAAATGAATGATGTTGACAGTAAGTGCTACAGAATTTTAGAGCTGTAGAGAAATAAGGGATTTTTATTTTTTACATCCTGGATTGCTCCCAAGACCACAGAACTGCACTGTCAGAGGGCGAGGGGACCTCAGTGATAATCTATTCCAACCCTTCATTTCACAGAAGAGTTAGCATGGTGAAGTCAGGGAGAAGTCACTTTGGAGGGCACTTGGTGTCAGTGAAACAATATTTTGTCTTAGGATCTCAGAATCATAGACTGGGAGTTGGAAGGAAACTTAGAGGTCCTCTAGTCCAACCCTCTCATTTTACATGAGAAAACAGGCCCAAAGAGGGAAGGTGACTTGTCCAAAGTCACACAGGTAGTAAGATATAGGATTTGAACTCAAGGCCACTGATTTTAAATCCAGACTGGCTAAATGTGTGTTCTCATCTGTGAGAACATGCCTCTCAGGTTCACAGAGGAGGAAGGAATTGCAGACACAATTCTAGTCTAGCCTCTACATGAACAAGAATCCCCTTTACAACATGTTTGACATGTGATCACTCAAACTTTGCTTGAAGACCTTCAGTCTAGTTTATCTCCCAAGGTAGCCAGTCTAGTTTTGGATGGTTCTGATTGTTAGGAAGCTTTTCCTTAAACCAAGACTAAATTTACCTTTTTCTAGTTTCTACCCATTGTTCCTAGTTCTGTTTTCAGGGCCATGCTAAACAAGTCTAATCTTGCCACATGGTAGCCCTTCAAATAAATATCTGAAGAGAGCTATCATATTCCACCTACATCTTCTTTAGGCTAAAATTCCCTACTTCCTTCAAATGGTCTTTATATGGCATGAGCTCAAGGCCCTTCTCCATCCTGGTTGCCTTTCTCTGGACATTCCAGCTTATCAATGCCCTTCCTAAATCATGCTACCCAGAACTTCATGAACATGATGGGGTTTGACCCCAGGGTAAAGTCTACTGTACCACACTTCCCTACTCCTGGATATTGTACCCTTCATAATGCATCTTAAGATTGCGTTAACTAGCTGCCATATCACACTACACTGTTAACTTACATCGAGCTTTCTGACCACTAAAGTACTCAGATCTTTCTTGATAGAAATTGCTGTCTAGCCTCACTACCTGTATCTTGTATTTGTCAAGTTGATTTTTTTTTAACCAAAGTGTAAGAAGGCATTTATGCCCATTAAATTTCATTTCATTTAGGCTTGTTAAGAATTTTTCATACTTTGAATGTGTCCTCTATCATGCTGGCTCTACTTACCAGGTTTGTGTCATTTGCATACTCCATAAGCATGCCCTTCCTTGCCGTTATCTAAATCACTGATAAATGTTAAACAGCACAGGGCTAAATGGCCACTGAGGATCTCCTTTCTAAGTTGAATCATTAACAATTACCCTTTGGGTGTAGTCATTTAACTAGTTCTGAATCAATCCACCCAATTGTATTATTATCTAAACCATGTATTTTCATCTTTTCCACAAGAATAGTATGAGAACATCCTCCTGCCTTTGAAAGCTAAGATGCAAAGTCCCCAGGGACCTGACTTCCACATTTCAACTAAATGAGACTTAATTTTAGGAAAAATCTGGGGTTCAGCTCAAATTTTAATGTAACCTTGGAAAGAGAGGGGAAGAGAAGAGGAGGGTTCTCCTAGAAAAGAAAACAAGGTACAGAGATGAGCTAGTAAATGTCCTAGGAGAGGTTTTGTTTTGTTCTGTTTTGAAATAAGAGCCCCACTGGAATGCTTGCAAAAAAAAAAAAAAAAAAAAAAAAAAAACAAACCTGACCACCATTATCTCTTCCCTTGTGCCTCCTTTTGGAAAGCAAAAGCCATGCTTTGAGCTGATCAAGTAGAAGATGATGGCTCCTTAGGGGGAGTCCTGTAGCTGGTGTTTGAGACTACCACTGGCCTGAAAGCAGAGGCTTTCAGAAAGGCAGTGCATCCTGCCTAGCAACTTCTGGTCAGTCAGGAGCCACCCATCCATTCACAAGCACAGAAATCGAGCCCCAAATTTGGAGAGAGCCTGCCTGAGTGGTAGGACAAATCTAGAAGATGTGGGGAAACTATGCCCTGCTTTTTCGGAAAATTCCTTTCCAAACCTCATTTCAGCATAAAATCGGTAGACCTACATCTTTCTAGGGTTACTGAGGTTAATAAGTTAAGAAGCTTTACTTCAGTTATTCATGTAGATGTGTCTATGTGTGTGTGTATAATACATATAAATACACACACATATAAATGTACATATGTGTGTCCACATACATAAACACACATATATGGATAGAATGCTGAACCTGAGTTCAAATCTCACCTTGGACATGTATTACCTGTGTGATCCTGGGCAAGTCACTTACCCTAGCTCATCCTTAGTTTCTTCATCTATAAAATGGGGCTAATAATAATAAAACCTGCCTCCCAGAGTTGTTGTGAATATTAAATATAGCACTTTGCAAGCTTTAAAGTGTTATATAAATAATAGCTATGATTTTTATTATCTTTCTTATGGCACAATAGTATTCCATTACATTAATATCCCATAATTTGCTCAGCCATTCACCAGCTGATGGACACCCACTCAGTTTCCAGTTCTTTGCCACTACAAAAAAAGAGCTGCTATAAAGATTTTTCTGTTGGTTCTTTTCCTCTTTCTTTGATCTCTTTCAAGTATAGGCCTGGCTGTGGTATGACTTGGTCAAAGGGTATATGTACATCGTTTAGTAATTTTTTAGGCACAATTCCAAATGGCTTGCCAGAATGGCTGGACCCATTCACAGCTCCTTCAACAGCAAATTAATGTGCCTATTTTCTGAAAGTCCCTCCAACATTTGTGATTTTCATTTTTTGTCATCTCTGCCAATCTGATGTGATTCTCACCTTTTACAGAAAATGAAATAGGCCCAGAGATGTTAGGTGACTAGCCTCAGGTTATACAGGTAGTAAATGGGAGAACTGGGATTTGAACCCAACTCCTATGACTCCATATCCAAGACTCTTTATATTGGACCACTTCATACACACAAATATGTATATGTATACATCCATGTGCATATATGTGTAATTGAATACATGGTACATTTATATATGTGTCTTTCCTAGCCTGCCTCCAGAATAAACCTGAATAGATGAATCTTTTTTTAAGATAGAGCTTTAAAAGGATTCTCCTTCCCCCCCCTTTTTAAAAAAAAAAAAAAATAAAGGCATTGACCCTTTATATGGGGCTCGTGGATATCATGTTCACTTTTAGGTGCTTCA